TGTGTGTGTGTGTGTGCGTGCTGTGTGCATGTATGCAAGAGTGAGATCGAAAGAAAGAGCAAGAGCATCTCTGACTGAGGCAAGTTTGCAGTGTGTGATCTAGTGATTAAAGTATTGTAAAACACTGCCGTCTGTTGGCCACTGTAAGAAATGTGTAACTTGTGCCAACTGCTTTATTATCATGATGCACTGATTAGACCAGGGCAATGAGGGCACCTTCTATCCATTTACTGTGTTGGCATAGCTGTTGTTGAATTTGACTTCCAATCTCATTTGCAACAATAACACTATTTTAATTTCTCAGCTAGATCAATATTTAACTGAGTTCAGGGCACTTGATTAACCCATTCATCAGTCCAGGTGTAGCTGTTCAGTTTTGTTTGGCTTGGCCAGGTCTGATTTGACTCGAGTAGTGTGTTCTCGGCTTGGGAGATTCTGGTTAGATGGTGCTTTGTGTGAACTGAGATTCAACCTACATGTGATCTTTGTTTTAGGGCTCCATTCAGTCAGGGCAGGACAGCCGGTCTCAGTCAGAGTCAATGGCTTTGAATTGGTGTATGATTCTGCCAGTTTCAAATCCCTACCTCATGCACTCACACAAACGTCCCCAGGGTTAATGAAATCAACCTCTTAAGTTATCCATTCAGGAAGGTAGAGGTGTGTGCCCTTCACCCTACAACCCACACACTTTTTTTTTTACTGTACCTGGAAACAGCAGTGACCCTTTGTGCTGCCCTTGTCCTCCCCACCCTTCCACTCCCATCCCCTCACTCCCATCAGAGGAGAGACCCTCAGACACAGTGGTGGTAGTCTGTCTTCCCACCCACCCCAGCTCCATAGCCCCTCCTTTGGCCTGACCTTGGTAACCCCCTGACAGGCACGTTGTGTAAGCTGATCCTACTGTCTGGTCTGTAGCCATTAGAGAGATATCCTCCCCTGTACACAGGGCTCCATAGAGCCTCACTCCTTTTCAGACACACACTTAGACATATAGACAGACAGACACAGCCTCCAGGTCTCCTCTGCACTCCACTCTCAAACACTGTCATCACATGTCTGTCTGTCTGTCTGTCTGTCTGTCAGCATGGACCTCATTGCACCCTCTGGCTGGGTGGGGTCACCTGGGGCTGGGACACACCCAAAAGGAAGGAGAGGGGTGGAAGGAGGGCACTGAGATATTGGGCTATATATGGGGAAAGGGAAAGTGTTTTTGAATGGATCTTCATGGCCTGGATGACATTCCCATTTAGTTCTTTATCACCTGTGGAGTGGAGTTTCATGTTGTGCAGGTAGAGTGAACACAGGAATTAGCCGCTTGGCTCAATATATTTCTAGAGAGGATTATGTTTGTAGAAAAATATTGTATGGAAGTGCCAGAGTTGTGGATTAATTTAATTAATCCCCCAAATCACTCTTTGGCTTCCAAGCAAACAACTATTTCTTCAACCGGTGTGACACCCATTCCACTGAATTAGAGTCAGCAAAGATATCTGCAGATATATCTTTCCCAGAGAGGTTGTTACTGTATATGTACTGTACTGTATTCCCTTTTGGGAGTGTGACTCAGACTAATGGCAGCAGTATCCAGTCTCACAGCCTTACATTTAACTACAATCTAATCATCAGCGACACGGCCTGCCAGCAGCAAGGCAAAGCTGTGATAGCTGCACACCCTAAGGTCTTCTTTGTTACTTCAGAATTGCTCTTGATCTACTCTAAAGATAAGGGACACACACACACACACACACACACACACACAGTCTTCCAATCCCCTGTCTCCCAAAGTGCCTCCCTGCAGAGCAGACTGGAATTATTAGCTGTACTCTACTATAGCTGTGACGATTTGTGAATGAACACAGGCTGAGTAAGGTTTGCGTGTCGGCTCTCTGGGCGTGGAGCCCAGGGCTTAGTGGCACTTCCAGCCTAACTCAAACTGGCACCTGGTCCAATGGCACTATCCATTCAGCTGTTCTCTATATAGTGTGGACTACTTGTTCCTATGGTGAACATGAGGTCATTTTATGAGTAAAAGTGCCGTGCCTATATGGGAATATTTGAGGACGCTTAGGCTAACTTAGTGGTACTCTCTTTGAGCCAACTCCAAGCTCCCAAATCAACCCTAGGGTAAAAATGCTATAGACTAGAACTGGTATGGTTTATGTTCTGAGAGAGGGTTGGTGCACTATGCTCAACTGCGGGGCGTTGCTGCTCTGTGTGTCTAGTTGCGAGCCATGGTAATAGACAATAAACAGGCTATAACAAAAACGGAATGGGGGGGGGGGGGGGGTTAATGCAGCATATAGTCTAAAGTAATGCACTATCCCATTTGGGACACAACCCATGATGCCACCTCTCTCCCTGTGGCTCTGTGGCCCTGGCTGCGGTGTGGAGTGACGGGTAAACGTCCCTCTAATGACAGGTCATCATTCTGCGACCGTAGGGGTCCAGCGCCGGTCTACATAATGATGGTTAGAAGGGAACATTAACCCAGCAGAGAGCAAGGGCAATGTTTACACACAGACAAAGACACGCCCGCCCGCAGGCACGCACACACAACCTACCGCTCTGAGCATCCGACAAACAATCTAGCTTAGACACAGAGCATAAAGCACAAACATGGCTCATAGCATCTTTACAGTCGCTCGTAAACTGTGTTCTGAACGGAGGGGGTACAGTAACCAAAATGCTAAATCTGGTTACTACACCCCCTACTGCTACCTATCGTCTGAACTCCTTCACTTTTACGACCGCCATGTTTAAAAGCAGCCACCAGGGAAGCACACTCAAATCTATTTTAACCAAAGCTCGGGGGGTCGTTATACATCAATAATTGGGTTGATTACGTTAAGCTTTTCAAGATGAGGGGCTCTGTCATTCATACAAATAGCTGTTGGTAGGGAGACTGGAGTCACGTAACAAACGGAGGAGAAAGTACATAGCTACATATTATGAATACAGTGAAAATATGACCTGTGTGAATGTAGTGAATGTTGAACGAGTCATTTTCAGTCAAGTGAAATTTCAGTGCTGGTATGTTAATCACTGCCACATTTTTATAATACAGTGGAGAGAGTAGGACTGTTACTCTGAGTCACTCTTAACCTCTCTCTCCTCTCTCTTTCTTTCTTTCTTCTTTCTTTCTCTGTGTGTGTTTGTGCAACCCCATTCCATCACAATGTTATAATGTAATAACAGAGCCATACTCTTCACTGCAGATTCAAACTTAGCATAGTATTATAGCAGTATGTGTATCAGCTATTTTAACTTCAAGTATTACATTTGCCCACTTCTGTCCATGTTGCACTATCACTCCAGAACTTGATTTGAGGTGCAAAGTCAAGCAGTAAGTCTGTAACTTCGCAACGTGCTCAACCCTACCTGCCCTTTTTAAAGCTAATTGTTTATGACTAAGGTGTGTAGAGGGGGGTTGAAGTCTGGGCTTTGACACTGTTTTAATGTCCTCTATCCGGAACATTCACCGCACCACTTCATCTAATGGTCTCTAATGCTTTCTAACTCAGAGTAGCTCGGGGTAAAGCTCTTGAGATAGAGAGGAGGTGGAGGAGTGAGATGGGAGGAGGAGGAGTGGCTTTAGTGTTCTCACTGACACGACACAGCTGACAGCATGACAGCAATCATTGGTCAGAGTGAGTCTATCTCAAGTGGCCCATATGCTGCTATAGAGATACAGTATGTTGGCTGGAATGGTGTGGGGACTGATATTACGACTGCTGTTAGGAGATGGATTGCCATGAATTTTACGTGGTCACGTGAAGAATTCCAAAAACACGTTTTCATGCGATCATGTGATCTTATGTGAAGTTAATGTGATGATGTGACATGTAAAGAAACGTGTGATAACATGAAACGACACGTGAAAACATGATCACGTGAAATCATGTGAAAACGTGTTTTTGGAACACTTGTGATCATTTCACATTACATTTTGTGATTTTTCCACATGTGAAATCGTGTGGTTATTCCATAAGGGTGTGTTTGCTTATGCGTGTGGGGGTAACACTGAAGCCTTCCACATGAGATATGAGAGTGGAGAAGTAAGCTAGTCGTATCTCTGAACTTATTTCTATCATGGTTTCTTTAAAATGTACAAAATGTTATTATGACCAACTGGGGTTCAAACCCTGGTCTTCTGTGCGTCACAAGTGGAGTGGAAACATCAAGTGGTCCTCTGTAGCTCAATTGGTAGAGCACGGCGCTTGTAACGCCAGGGTAGTGGGTTCGAATCCCCGGGACCACCCATACGTAAAAATTTATGCACACATGACTGTAAGTCGCTTTGGATAAAAGCGTCTGCTAAATGGCATATTATTAAGTGGAAATGCATGAACAGAAGTTACTCTTCACTTTCTAACACCTAACCTCTGTGTTTGTCTCTCTCTGTGTCCCTACAGGTAGCTGGCATCATCCTCCTGGAGATCAACACAAGGAGCTGTAACATCAGAGAGCGAGGAAGCCCTGCCACAGCCATTCTCCCCTCCCCCTCATCCCCCTTTTTTCTCCCATCGGACTGACAGAGAGAGAGAGAGTGAGGGAAAGAGCGAGGGAACGTGGGAAAAAAGAGGGAGACATGTACCAAACACTCCTCCTTTCCTCCTCTCTCTTCCTCCTCCATGTCACGGCCACTCCACAGTTCCACGGTCACCACGGGTAACCGCTCCCTCATTCCACTTCCTGTGTTTGTTATTGGCTGTCACTTATTGGTCGTTCAGCTTTGGTCCTTGGGACGGCATGGCTACATGGGGGGCTAGCTTCAGTTACACACTAGCCACTTACTTAATTGGGAGCTGTTTATTTAAAAAGGTATTTGCTTCTCTTGACATTCTCACCCTGAGTAAATGTGTACTGGTTGGCCAGATAACAGTTCTTAGATGATTAGACTTAGGTCAACTCTGAGGAGATGCAGGTTCTATTTTTGAGATCTCAGTTTATTTCAACAGAGACCAAAACAAACTAGAGCCCTCACGAGAGGTCAAACGGCGATGAAAGGTCAGAGGTGACTCTCAACTCGGACACTTTCAGTGGTGATTACATTGGCCAATCAGCATCAATTACATGTCAGCTAACCTCCACTGACACATAGAGACCTCAAGGTCACATCATCAATTGAGAGTTAAAATGCTTGATGGACTGTTTAGTTTCCAGACTGGTTAAGAGACCACAGACTGGTTCAGAGACTACATACTAGGGTTGAAACACAGTCTCAAACGGTCCCCTGATGCAGCACAATCTATAGGTGAATGCTTCAGAGGTAAGTGGTGTAATTTCACGTTTTAAACCATGAAGATTCCTGTCAGTAATTGAACTTCCAACATTATGTAAATTGTTAATTTGATGTAAAATAATTATGATTATGTGGAATTTCATGACTTGGTGTGTAGCTAGCTGTTAAACTAATACAGTGACAGACTGATTTAACAACAGAGACAGTCCTCATATGTCCCAAAGAATACCTCTCCAGTGTGTGTGGTTATACCTGTGTGTGTGGTCTCACCTGTGTTCCTACGTGTGTGTGTGTGTGTTGCAGGAGGAGGGTGTGTGGCAGAGATGTCCGTCACAGCAGTGTAGTCACGGCGACAGAGTCGTTCGTCCAGCCTGTTCACAAGCCCTACATCACCCTGTGTCAGGGCCACCGCTTCTGCAGCACCTACAAGTAAGAGAGATAGCCATGACGGTCATGATCACGATCACTGTTGCTATCGCTATCACTGCAAACATCCCACCTAATCTTATCATAATACCATGCTAATGCCACCAAAAGGTCCATATCACTTCCCATTCAACTACAGACCGCAAAAACACTACAGTAAATACTACAGTAATGTCCGCAAAAACACTACAGTCCGCAAAAATACTACAGTAATTACTATAGTATATTATACTACACTATTTAATTTGCATATACCCTGCCTATTCTCCTCTACCATATCCCAATTTGTGCCACCCATAAGTGAGAAACCTACTTGCCAAGTATTTTGTTCCATACAGGTTATAGAAAAAAGCAGAAGCGCTAAACTATGTGTTCAGTCCTACCTACCAACAGGTTATGGATAAATTGTTCTTTGAGTGTTTTGTCCAGTAGGTTTCCTCAAGGAAAAAGCAGCCACTGCTATATCAAAGATAATAAAACACTATAGGAAATACTACAGTAATATTCACAAAAACACTATAGTAAATACTACAGTCGGCAAAAACACTACAGTAAATATTACAGTATACTACAGTCTGCAAAAACACTACAGTAATTACTATAGTATATACTACTATATACTTTTTTGTATATACTATATTAAACTGTAAATACTACAGTAATGTCCACAAAAACACTACAGTGAATACTATAGTATTTATACCATAGTACATTATAGTATTTTTTCATGTGGGATCACTCTCTTATATCATACTCGTACACAGAAGTGGGTCACGGCACATATTTTTGGGGAATCCAAATATCAAGCACTTTGTATAACTACGGGAAATGAACAGCCAGCCAACAGAGCCCACTGCTGTGTTTATCTTGGACAACCTCTCCCTCCGTACTTACGCACTCTTTCTTTCTCATTCTCCCTTTAGCTTGTTCTCTCTCTCTCTTTCTCTCTTCCTGCACAGTAATGTGCCCACATGAAAAAATACTATAGTATACTATGGTATAAATACTAAAGTATTCACTGTAGTGTTTTTGCAGACTCTACTGTAGTATTCACTGTAGTGTTTTTGCGGATTAAAGTCAGCAAAAACACTACAGTGAATAATGTAGTATTTACTGTAGTAAACTGTATTATACTGTAGTATACTGTAGTATTTACAGTTAAATATAGTATAAATACTGTAGTAAAGGAAAAATGTAGTATACACTATAGTAACTAATGTAGTGTTTTTGCGGATTGTAGTATACTGTAGTATTTACTATAGTGTTTTTGCGGACTGTAGTATACTGTAGTATTTACTGTAGTGTTTATGCAGACATTACTGTAGTATTTACTGTAGTGTTTTTGTTTCATATTTGACATAGAAGTGGAGGCTTTCTCTTTCAGGAAACCTATTTGAAAAAATATTAAAAGAGCACATTTTCCATTAGTAAGTAGGTAGGTTCAGCACTTCTGCTCTTGTCTATATAATGTAGGAAACACAATATATTCTATACTTGGCATGTAGGTTTCTCACTTACGGGTGGCACAAATTGGGATACAGGGGAGGGGAATGGGCAGGGTAATGCAAATAAATACTGTAGTATTTACTATAGTTTAAAAAATGTAGTGTTTTTGCAAACATTACTACAATGTTTTTTTTGCAGATAATGCTGTAATATTTGCTGTGGTATTGTACAGTATACTACAACATTCTATAGTAAGTACTACACATGATGTGGGTGAGCAATGCAGCAGACCTCCCAACAACTATAATTATAAACGTACCTTCCAACCATGAGGCTGTTATGAATTAATTTGTTTGAGGCATCATTCGTGAGGCAATTTTTCTCCTTTCCTCCCTCTTTCCCCCTCCTTCCCTCTCTCCCTCTCTGATGTCTGTGCCCGTTCACTGAGGACAATGCCAGGAAACATTTCAGCAGATTTCAGTGAAACAGCTGAACGCAGAACTGGCTTGGTGTCACCCCCTCTTCCTCCCCTCCTTTACACATTTCCCGCCCTTGTCACACGCACTTGGTAACCAGTGGTCCATGGTCTAGCCTAATATTCCAGTGAATTCCCATTCTCTCATCTACACTATATATACAAAAGTATGTGGACACCCCTTCAAATTAGTGGATTCAGCTATTTCAGCTACACCCGTTGCTGACTGGTGTATAAAATCAAGCACACTGCCATGCAATCTCCATAGACAAACATTGGCAGTAGAATGGCCTTACTGAACAGCTCAGTGACTTTCAACGTGGCACCGTCATAGGATGCCACCTTTCAGTTCGTCAAATGTCTGCCTTGCTAGAGCTGTCAACTGTAAGTGTTGTTATTGTGAAGTGGAAACGTCCAGGAGCAACAACGGCTCAGCCGCGAAGTGGTAGGCCACACAAAATCACAGAACGGGACCGGCGAGTGCTGAAGCACGTAGCGCTTAAAGATCGTCTGTCCTCGGTTGCAACACTCACTACCGTGTTCCAAACTGCCTCTGGAGGCAATGTCAGCACAATAACTGTTCTTCTGGAGCTTCATGAAATGGGTTTCCATGGCCGAGCAGCCACACACAAGCCTAAGATCACCATGCGCAATGCCAAGCGTCGGCTGGTGTTCTGTAAAGCTTGCCGTCATTGGACTCTGGAGCAGTGGTAACGCGTTCTTTGGCGTGATGAATCACGCTTCAACATCTGGCAGTCTGACGGACAAATCTGGGTTTGGCGGCTGCCAGGAGAACACTACCTGCCCCAATGCATAGTGCCAACTGTAAAGTTTGGTGGAGGAGGAATAAGGGTCTGGGGCTGTTTTTCTTGGTTCGGGCTAGGCCCCTTAATTCCAGTGAAGGGAAATCTTAACGCATATAATGACATTCATGATTATTCTGGGCATCCAACTTTGTGGCAACAGTTTGGGGAAGGCCTTTTCCTGTTTCAGCATGACAATGCACACGTGCACAAAGCGAGGTCCATACAGAAATGGTTTGTCGAGATCGGTGTGGAAGAACTTGACTGGCCTGCACAGAGCCCTGACCTCAACCCCATCGAACACCTTTGGGATGAATTGGAACACCGACTGCGAGCCAGGCCTAATCGCCCAACATCAGTGCCCTACCTCACTATTGCTCTTGTGGCTGAATGGAAGGATGTTCCAACATCTAGTGGAAAGCCTTCCCAGGAGAGTGGAGGCTGTAATAGCAGCAAAGGGCGGACCAACTCCATATTAATGCCCATGATTTTTTTTATGAGATGTTCGACGAACAAGTGTCCACATACTTTTGGTCATGTAGTGTACATTCTTCTCTGCTTACATGGAGAAAACTCCAGGAGCTCAGAACACAGTGTTGACAAACAGGGGAATCTGACCAAATGCTACTCTACAGTGTAACAGACTAGTCTTGATTTCTCAGGATCATTATTCACACCTAACTGACTCTATGTCGGCAGCACAGACCCTGTCTAACCTCTCACTCTCTTTTGTGTGTTTTCTTCAGGACAGTGTACAGGGTGGCGTACCGTCAGGTGACCAGAGCGGCGCCAGTCTCACACTCTTACCCAGAATGCTGCCCGGGCTGGCGACAACTCCACTCACACAACTGTAACCAAGGTAATGGGGGCTAACGCTCTCCTAGCATCCCATATGTTGTGTGTGTGTGTGTTTGTTACATATCCTGTCCTCCCCAGCGGTGTGTGTCCAGTCTTGTGTGAATGGAGGAACTTGTTTAAGACCCAACCACTGTGCCTGTCGTCTGGGCTGGATAGGACGACACTGCCAAACAGGTACACGCATACACACACCTGCACACACCTGCACACTATTGCTAGCACACTTAAATAAACAATATCAGTGACTCTCCCTTCCTCTCTCTATCAGATGTGGATGAGTGCAGTGAGCAGCAGCCCTGTTCTCATAAGTGTGTGAACATGGCAGGCAGCTACCGCTGTGTTTGTAGAGAGGGCTACAGGCTGGCAAGAGACAGCCACTCTTGTGAGAGCCTTCCTCCTCCTCCCGCCCCTCCCACCCGCCCCAGCCAGGCAGCAGCAAACGATTACAGACCCCCCTCCAGTGATACAGGTACACCTACCTCCTCTTGCTATTCATCCACAGGCATGGTAATCAATCATGTGCTATGTGTGTGTGTATTCCAGCAGAGCCTCCTATGGGAGTGAAGAGGAGAGAGGACAATAGCCAGGCTCGCCGTCCATTATTACTTTTGGTACGCGCTATGCCAAACTCAACTCGTACCGTGAGTAATAATGCACTGCGACTGGTACCAACTGCAAGTGGACCGTATGCGCTCAACAACCAAGTGTGTGGTCATGTACAGTATGGTATGACCAGATGAACCATGCTGATAACCGCTGTTTCAACATAGATTGATGTAGACTTATCTTCCTTATCTTTCGCTTAGGAAAACGTCCCACCATTACAGAACTTTCGTTTAGTATTGAGTGAAGCATCCTTCTCTCCCGCACTTTCACTCAAGCGTTTCTCTAAACTGCTGCATATCACTCTGAAGAAAAGGAAAACAGTTGTTCTCATAAACCACGTTTCCATCCACAGTTTTTATGCGAGTAAAGTCATACCGTATAAAAAGAAATCACAACAGCTGTGATGGAAACAGGAAGTGTCGGTACAATTTTATAAATGGCGACAGATCATTTGTTCGTTCGACATGGTGGGACCTTTTTGTGTCGGTAAAATGTGTAATGCGAGAAATGGCAGTGGAAACACCTTTATGCGCAAATATTGATATAATAACCATCATATTGAAGTAAACTTGGAGTAATGCGATGACATGGTGTGTGGTCCTCCCACTACGACTCGGGAAACCATGCAGTTTATTTGGTTACAGATTAAATAAGTTAAGATAAACTTCAAAGGGTGGTGAAAGTGCAAGGTGATGAGCTTGATGCTCCTTTCCAATAAATATCGAGGGTCTTATTCTGGTGACATGGTGATCGATGCTTGGCTGCCACAATAATCTCATCATGTAGACTAGCCTACCCGCACAGCCTACCCGCACAGCCTACCCGCACAGCCTACCCGCACAGCCTACTGGCACTGTATCTGCCAGCTGTTGGCTAGAGCGCAGGTGCCAAGACCAGAGTTCCACATTTGCAATTTAACGCAACAGTTTTTGTGACAAAACTATTGGTAGAGTTGAAAATGCAATAGACATTAAAGCTTAAGTGAAAAATTACATTTTGTGTACACTACGTCATCACGCACTGATTTCTATCCGCAACAAATCAGTTTGGTGGAAACACACCACTGGTGGGAAAATGCGCATATTTTCTTTATGAAGATTTAGAACATTCGCATGAAAATCTGTCACCAATTGGACGGAAATCTAGCTATAGATGTGCTTTGTTTGGCGTAACATAGCAACGGGCTAAAAAGTTATACTTTTGAATCATCTGTCCATAGAACGTTCTTCCAAGAGTCTTGATGATCATCCAGGTGCTTTTTGGCAAACTTGAGTCAACTATTTGGACGAGATGGGTCCCATTATGCCTGGCGAAAACCAAACACAGCATTACACAGTAAGAACATCATACCAAAGGTCAAGCATGGTGGTGGTGGTGTGATGGTTTGGGGATGCTTTGCTGCCTCAGGACCTGGACGACTTGCCTTAATAGAAGGAACCATGAATTCTGCTCCGTATCAGAGAATTCTACAGGAGAATGTCAGACCATCCGTCTGTGAGCTGAAGCTGAAGCACAGCTGGGTCATGCAGCAAGACAATGATCCAAAACGCACAATCAAGTCTACATGAAAATAGCTAAAAAGCAACATATTTGAAGTTTTGGAATGGCCTAGTCAAAGTTCAGACATAATCCCAATTGAGATGTTGTGGCAGGACTTGAAACGAGCAGTTCATGCTTGAAAACCCACACGTCACTGAGTTAAAGCAGTTCTGCATGGAAGAGTGGGCCAAAATTCCTCCACAGCGACGTGAGAGACTGATCAACAACTACAGGAAGCATTTGGTTGGAGTCATTGCAGCTAAAGGTGGCACAACCAGTTATTGAGTGTAAGGGGGCAATTACTTTTTCACACAGGGGAATTGGGTATTGCATAACTTTGTTTATGAAAGAAATGAAATAAATATGTAATTGTTGTGTTATTTGTTCACTTATGTTCCCTTGATCTAATATTAGGTTTTGGTTGAAGATCTGATAACATTCAGTATCACAAATATGCAAAAGTAGAGAAAATTAGAAAGGGGGCAAATACTTTTTCATAGCACTGTACAAACTGGTAGTACTGTATGTACATAAAGTACAAGAGGCGGCGTTGCCAAACCAATGACCTCTTCCTCGTAACCGCTTTCTGTCTGTCTGTATTTGTGTCCAGAGGAAAGGAAAAAGTAGTTATGACCAAATTCACACAAGATGGCTCTTCTCAGCCAAACTTAGACAGGCTGTTCACCCCCCTGAGTGTGGCTGAGGATGGATCGAGGGTGGAGGGGGTTATGTGTGTGTGTGTGTGTGCGTGCGTGCATGTGGATGGATGAATAGGGGTTAGGGAGATCTTTTGTCTAATCAGCACAAAGTGAGAAAAACAGCAGGAAAAAAAACCAATGACAGATCTCTGTACTTGGTGAAAGTGACGTGGGGGTGAGGGGAAGTTAGTGGGGGGAATATGTGCAGGCTCAGGCTCAGTACAGAAGTGTTCTCCTTGGCCAACAAAGTGCCAGGCCAGCAGGCAGTCGCAGCATCAACATCAGTGTTCTGGTTAACAGCCCTATTATAACCATTAACTATTCAGGCTGAGGTCTGATGTTGATGAAGATCACCAAGATAAACATGGGAATAAATGCCCTGCTCAGACTGTAACAGCTCTCGTCTGACCCCCTCATCCTCCCCTTTCCGTCCGTTTCTGAAGGCTTTTTTTCCTTCCTTCTCTCTCCCGCTTCTTGGCCGGGACAAGCTCTCTCATTCCAGCTCCATCAACCTCGTCTGCTGGGGGTCACCCCCCCCCCCCCCCGTCCTTTTGACTCAATAATAGGCCACATCTGGGAGAGATAAAGCTGTTCTCAGTTTGGCCCTAGCTCCGAGACGCGGGTTCCTACCCCAGTTCGGAGCCCCTAGCTCTGGGGACCTGTCGTGGGGAGCAGGGGGACACTTGGTGACTGGTTGGACTCAGGCCAGCCCAGCTCACCCCTCCTTGTCCTGTAACCGATAGGCATGACGGACTGTGTGTCTATATATAATGCCCTCTCTGTCAGTTATATGGTGTGTGTCTGTGTCATTTCCCCATATTCTCAGCCCCTTCTGCAGGCTAATTTATGGATTTGTCACCGGCTTCACCCCAAGCTCAATTCCCCAGCCAGCTCGTAGATCTTCGGTTCTCTTCCCGTTTGTTTCAAAGCTCTGAGACTGATACCTCCTGCCTGCTTTTGAATCACTCTGAATCGGAGCAAGATGCAAGAGGCATTATCTATCTCAAAGACATGTCACAAGTCCAAGCTTTTGATAGAATAGGAAGGATTAACCATTACACTCTCTCTCTCCCCCTCTGTTGAACCTCTCTGTAAGCTAACCCTACTGGGTCATATTCTATAGGGTTCACCGTAGCAAAACGTTTTGCAACAGAAAATGAAAATCTGTGATTTCAGGCCCCCTCGTTTTCAAAACATTTTCTCCCTATTAACAACCTCGGTGTGCAGTTGGAGGGTGTTTTAGATGGTGGTGATCCACATTGTATTTTCATGTGTGTGTGTGTGTGTTGTCTACAGGTGGAGGGGTCACAGAGGAGGTACAGAGCCTGAAGAACAGAGTAGAGCTGCTAGAGCAGGTACATCTGCACTCCTCTACCATCACACGCACGCGAACGGGCGTACATACGGGTGTAAAGTCCCCCTTTAACCCTGGCTAATGCCCCTCTAGCATCCACCCTGACCCAGCCCTAGTCACACACTGCATGGTGTAATATCAAATACCACTCAAGATGTAATCATGAACATTTGTTAACCAACAGAGAACACACACGCTCGCAAAACCCGGCATCCTTTGAAACGCCAGACTCTGGTAGTGACCTTTTTAAAAGTCTTTATGGGCTTTTCATTAGAATTCATGTTGTTAATGCTCCGTTGATTACAGTAAAAGTCAATGAAGGGCTGCAGGCAGCTGAAATGGGGGGGGATCCATATAATAGAGCAGTACCTTTTACATTACAGCGACCGCTGCGATGGCATTACGGATTGTATTGAGATATGTTACCAGTAGGAACATAAATGAGTTGCTGTCTCCCTACTGCTTGTATCCTCTCTGTTGTTGTTAGGCACACACAATACAGTGGTGTCCAGAACACATTGATTGATTAGTTAATGCCCCTCTCTCCTCCCTTCCCTCCAGAAGCTCCAGTTGGTCCTAGCCCCCTTCACCAGTCTGTTCCCGATGTCGCTGGACGAGGGCGTGTCTGAGAAGACCAGCTTCCTGTCTCACTCCTTCCAGCAGCTGGACCGCATCGACTCGCTCAGCGAACAGATCGGCTTCCTCGAGGAACGCCTCGGAACCTGTGAGTGGATAAACACACAGTTAAAAATGTATTTTCGTTGTACTCCTCTTGTTGGACTAAGTGGCCAAATAGAGGCTTGAAGTGGATGTGAAGTGATTTGGTTGACTATAGATAGTAACACCCCACTGGGCACACACTGGTTGAATCAACGTTGTTCCCACATCTTTTCAATTAAATTACGTTGAACCAAAGTGGAATAGACGTTGAATTGGCGTATGTGCCCAGTGGAACTGATTTGTCCACTGCTCTGTCTTCACTACAGGTTCCTGCCAGGAAAATTAGACACAGAACATGACTGGATGAAAACCAACCGGACTTCACACAAGTCTGAATCCACAACACAATAACAATAGGAATGGAATGATTGCCCCAGCCCAGGAATATGGTAGGAGGAAGAAGGTTAGCAGAACATAGGCCTACTCAACGTTTGTGTATTCATGTTCCTATACCAGCCCAAAGTTTTGCTCTTGAGAACCCAAGGCATTAACAAGGCATTCTGCCTTATCCCAAGGGTTCTCAGCTATAAGCACTGCTTATAGCTGATTTCTGGTTTCCGTGTTTTAGGTTCACATCAGTGCAGCTGGTTCCACTGTCAGAGCCACCATGGTGGGTCTCACATGGACATCTGTATTTGTCTATTTAAGTTATAATTCCTTGTGCTTATCTAATAGAGCTACAATAGACAGTTGGCTTTTTTTCTTTTTTTTTTACATAGCTTTGTAACTTTTTGTAATAAAATTGATTAATCAAAAATGTCTAGTAGAGGATTTATTGTGTGAATGTAGAGTTTATGTGAATCCACGTGGAAGAAATATAACTATATAGATCGAGATCTCATTTTGACCACTCAACGAACACATTCCTATACTGATCAAAAATATAAACGCAACATGTAAAGTGTTGGTCCCATGTTTCATGAGCTGAAATAAAAGATCCCAGAAATGTTCCATATGCATAAATAGCTTATTTCTCATATTTTGTGCACAAATTTGTTTACATCCGTTAGTGAGCATTTCTCCTTTGCCAAGATAATCCATCCACCTGACAGGTGTGGTATATCAAGAAGCTGATTAAACAGCATGATCATTACACAGGTGCACCTTGTGCTGGGGACAATAAAAGGCCACTCTAAAATGTGCAGTTTTGTCACACAACACAATGCCACAGATGTCAAGTTTTGAAGGAGCGTGCAATTGGCATGCTGACTGCAGGAATGTCCACCAGAGCTGTTGCCAGAGAACGTAATGTTAATTTCTCTACCATAAGCCGCCTCCAATGTCGTTTTAGAAAATGTGGTAGTACGTCCAACCGGCCTCATCTGCAAAGCCTGGGTGTCCGAGGATATTATTTTTTCATCAATGAAATAAGAAACACACAGCAATAAAGCAACAGCTCCTTAAGAAAAAAATGACATTTATTTATCATTTTCCAAGGCATTCATCAAACACGTTTATCCATATTTCTGTGAAAACAAGAAACACTTCATCGTCGGTATTAACCAGATACTATGATGGGCTTCTTGTTGTGTACACACACACACACAGAGAGAAGGCTCACCAGGATGTCATAAGACAAGACACTTTGGCCAGCTCAGTTGTACATAGTTATCTTAAGCTACCAACATTACACTTTAATAGCTTTGGTGAAATTCATAGAATATTTTATGATTATATTTATATACCACCCAAACTCAACATGAAAAAAGTGCTTTATTAATTTTTGGAATACTTTCAATATTTCTCCAATATCTCCAATATAATTGTGTAAAACAAAACACCAGGTCAACCAACAAGGTTCTCTAAAGAAGTGTTGCAGAGCCTGTCGAGTTATCACGGTCAACGAGTCAATGACGCTTTTAGCTGACACACTAGAAAGTTGAGCTACAAAACGTCCATGAAAATAATCATAGGCTAACTATTGACCATTGTCTAAAATCATTGACAGTTTACATTTGGTTAGTACCAAATTGGTAGCATCTTTGATGAACATTCAAACATCTTTGTTGCAAGATAAAAAAAAATGCATGAGGATAAGCATAAATAATAAAAAATACTCTCCAAAAGATACTCTCCTATGAACAAAAACAGATGTCACAGATTAATTGTATGTATTTGGACCGACTGGCGTATGTATTTTCCTTACATAGTTGTACTGGTCTTCAATAACAAAGATGAGGAAAGCCGAGTTGATTTCCTCCTAGGAGCCAAGTAAGCCATGAGTCCAGCAGGTGACACTAAAGCTCCTGCAGCCACTTGACTACGAAGAAGAGTAGTAGTATACAGGTTTATTGCCAGACGAAACACAATGTTTTCACTCCTACAACGTGAGCAGTTCATCAATACCATTTCAATTCAGTCATTTTAGGAAGTAAACTGATATTCTAATTCCACATTTGTCTCGTAGAATAATTGGATTTGGAATTTCAATGTATTTTCTGAATTGATTGACCCCAAACCCTGATCCTCGGGAAGTTTAGGTGCACAAGAAATAAAAATGTACTCCGGAGGTTAACTAATTTAACACTTAATTTCAAATAAATTGATTTCATCATTCACACATTTCATAGTGTCAGAAACCGACTTTATGCAAGACAACATTCCATTGGAATATGTTATACTTGAAAGCAACAACAACAACAAAAGTAAGAGTTACATGCAATTCGGCTGCATATACACAGGCAGCACAATTCTGATATTTTTCCACTAATTGGTCTTTTGTCCAATCAAATCAGCTTTTGCAAATAATTGGGCATAATATAAGAATTGGGCTGACTGTAAACGCAGCCAGAGTAGTACAAAGAATCATGAACGCCGAAATACATTCTCACACTGGCGTTTGACGGGCAAAAAGCTGCGAGCGACATTTTAGCAAACTGTAAAGTAAAAGCTGTGAATATAAAAAATTTCAAGATCTGGATGCAAATGATAAACTGAATTGCCATAAACCAAAAGTATTACTGTAAGATGTCATCTGTCTATTATTTTCAAAATATAAAACCTAAAGTTTAATTACTTCACAATCCTAAAATGTATGATTACTGTACCACCTTTCAACATAAGGCCAAAACTTCACACTAATCTGAATTTCAGCCAATTCTTTTCTTTTTAAAAACATACCAAGCCTTCTTCCTGCAGTCAGACTTTACATATCATACACCATCCATCGATAAAAACATCAATGTATTATTCTCAGTTCTGTTTTGCCTATCATAATTGGTCAGAAAACTACAGTAGGTGTTGAGACATTCGCTTAACTCATATCCCTCATCCTCAATCTATAGTATAAACAGCACCTGTTTCTCAACAGGTAATCACTCGGATAGCAGCCCTCCTAGTTACCAGGTAACAATAAGGAACATTTGGACAAGCAAAGGATTTACAAGAGTCGTTACAGTGCTGTTACGATGCCAAGATTGTTTTACAGCAATTGTCAATTCCCTGGAAAAAGGAATTGTACAACTTATTAGGTCATATTTTACTTCTTAACCAAGGGTACTGCCATCACAGGGGTTACCAAACTACAGGTTTGTGTTGTTCTGTTTGAAGAGCATTTGATTCCTATATCACCTCTGAGATTTATTTTTTGGGGTAGGCTGAAACAAGCAGGGTTTATTAGTTAGTTAGTTATGGTGCTTTTCCATTAAGACTTACCCCACACCAGTGAGTTGCCAGTGTTTTATGTTAATATAGGCTCTAGTGTAATTGTGTTTCCATCAAGAGTGACTTGGGGCGTGCAGAATCAACAACCTCTGCATCATTCAAGCCAGTTGCTTTGTGGGAAGGTGTTACATTTCACAGTTAGCCTTTGCTATGTAAATGCCAGCTGAAAAGTTCCCAGGGCCTTGCCTTGGTTAGAGCAGGTCCGCCGGAGCCATGTCCCAGTGAGACAGGTGCTGGCCCACATGTCTGAGCCTTTTGGGTAAATCACTGGGGTAAATCCTCAATGGAAATGCACCATTAGTAAAAATTCTAGTTCAAACATTCGATTTGAGATGTGAAACATGGCGACTGTCTCTACCATCACGATACCATCGTCATTGCAGTGAAGCGAGGACTAATAACTGATGTTCATTGGAAACCATTTTTAAAAAAGATCAATCACTAACAGATCACTTGTTACATTTAAAACACTTCCCTCATTAAAACACGTTGTACTGTAACTGTGTCACATCTAGATCACTCCCCACTGTGTTAGGTTTAAAATACACTCCCCCTCAGTAAAACTCTCTCCTCTGTGTAACATTTAAAACACTAGCACACTGACATGGCACAAAAGGAATCTTAAACTTTGGAACAGTAATGCTTGGACATTGCACTTCATGAAATCACCTTTGACACTTCGTAAATAGAGAACAGATCTTTGAGAAGACAGAAAAGTAGAGTCAAATTTATGCCATTTAGCAGACACTTTTATCCACAGCGATTTACAGTCATGCCTGCATACATTTTACGTATGGGTGAGGAATCAAACCCACAACCCTGGCATTACAAGTGCCACACTCTACCAACTGAGCTCATTGTTTTAAAAAAACACAAGCGAAACAAACAAGATCATATGATGTAGAAATAAATATAAAGCAAAATATATAACACAGCTGTAGAAAATACACTTTTTACTCAATGTTACATGCAGTTTATTTCTTAGGCTGTTGGAAAATAAAAAACCAAGACAATATAATAATAATTTGGTGGGTGGCTTATATTTGTCCTATTTCACACATGTACAATGTGTATTAATACACGTGTGAATGGGAAATGTGTATTTTTGCATATCCCAACTCCCGAGACACCCTCAGAGTGGGGTCACGGCCAGGGTATGCCATTATCAACGGCGGCCCTGGAGCAATTAGGTTTAAGTGCCTTGCTCAAGGTCAGACAGATTTTCCACCTTGTCGGCTCTGGAATTCGAACTGGCGACCTTTCGGTTACTGGCCCAACGCTCTAACCACTAGGCTATCTGCCACCCTAGTACACCAACAATGCACAGCGTTTGGAAATCATTGAGTCCACTAGAGTCCATGAATTTACTGATGATTGTTCTTGTCGTCGTTGTACTTTGTTTCTTTATGTCGTAACAGTATGTCATTGAGCTATTTTGATCATGTGGATTGAGAAGCAAGTGTGGTATGTATGTATCGATAGAGTTGATTGCACTGAGACACAGATAAATAACAAGTCCCTGGTCAACTACTGACCTCTCCTTTCGCTCTGTCACCCTCCATCTCCCCTCAAGACCCCTGGTCCAGACCCTGGTCCTCCTTCAAAAGAGGCAAGAGGCTGGAATGCACAACGGAACAGGGGAGGATAAACTGGGGTTGGGTGGGGTGTTGGGGGAGGGGGTGCCGTGGTGTGTTGTGCGTGTGTGTTAGCGGTGGGAGTGCTTGGCGTCTGTTAAAGCAAGGTGGTTGTGTGTTGTGCGTGTCTTTGAGAGCGCATTAAGAAAAAAGTTAAGGCAGCACCAGAGGAAAGTATAAATATCCACCGTCGACATTTATGAAAAAACTAAACAAGTGTCGAGCCGGAAGGAGGGGAAAAAAGTGAAAGAATAACCACTGACTAATAAAAAAATCAGACAATAACACTAAAGACTCTTTTAAAAAAGGTGGGCAACAGAGCTATCTGCAAGGCATGCATGATGAACGCACATTAATACTGTTCCGTTTTGCTTGCCGTCCGTCACTCCACTCGTAACCTGCAGAGCCAACAGGGCTTCTGCAGTGAGAGGTCAGGACTGCACTGTATGGGGGCTGGGTCGGAGCAGGAGCCAACCAGAACCAAACTGTACCAGGCCAAAACAACAGATGAGTTCATGACAGAGGCCTGGGGTGTGTGTGCATTGTGTCCTGGTACAGATGTGGTCAAATATATTGGCACCCTTGCACGATTCACTATTTCTTCAAAAATAAGTTGAAATGGAAAACATTGTGTTCACACATGTATTTGTTTGACTTACAACTGCACAGGAACCCCCCCCCCCCCCCCCCCCCCCAAATAAAAAAAACCTACATTTAGGTTTTTCTTCAAAGAAAATAAATGGCCTAGACTAATTTATTCAAAATTCGAATTAATTTGGTTGGAGGCAATTTCTCGTTTACTGTGTAATTTATCTCACACCTGTGGTAAGTTGCAGGTGCCTACAGGGTAAAAAAAAATTGCCATTCAACCAGTTTTGAAAAGAGAAAACAGAACATTCTGCTCCATAAGGGTGCCAATATATTTTACCTAATCTGTAGGTAGGGGAAAGGTTTAGGTGTCTCGGACATGGGAAATGTTCAGTGGTGCAAGGAGGGCCCGTTGCTCTGGGTTAAGGGGGCGAAGCCAGAGATGTCCAGGAAGACTGAGCGCATGAGGTCGTAGGACTTGTCGGAGAGGTCGGCCACGTCGTCTGACGTCATGCCCTTCGTCTCGATCTTCGGAAGGATCTTCAGCGTGATGGTCCCTAGTTTGAGCATAGCATCATCATCATCAGTCCAACCATCATTATCATCAGCACAACCCTCATTCATCATCGTGTTTGCATGCAACCAAAAGACAACATCTTTCTATACATGTCATGAGCAGTTCATTTCAAGAGTAGCTCTGTATGAGCCATTTCACAATGAATTAAAAACGTGATCTGTACCCGAGTTGAAAAGCTTTTCTTTACGTAGGTAGAAGTTACTGTAGGAGGAGAACACGATGGGGATGATAGGAGCCTAGAACAGAGAGAGCGAGAGGGGAGAGAGAGTGAGCAAAACGAAAACAGAGAGAGAGCGAGAGAGTTATCATGACAGTTCGTTCCACATTCCATTCAAGCCCATGGTCCCAAAATACCATTCTTTTTTCCAAGATAAGTAATCTACTTTTCAATGATTTTTCCCTCCCTCAGGCAAGACAAAGACAAACATGAACACACAGATACAGACAAATCACATGCATGGCTGAACCAGCTACACACAGACTGTCTGTACACACATCTACCTCCCCTCCATCCTTCCCTCCCCGCCGTCCTTCCCTCCCTGACTGGTGCTGAGAGCTTGAACCATAGCAGAGCGAGACAGACTTCCAACCTTCAGGACAGCCAGACAGCAGCCTTTGAACTGAACAGAGAGAGATTACTGCTGCTTCTTCAGGGCCAAGCTTTCAAAGACTCATCCTTTGTGTATCCCCCACTCTCTCTGTTACCTCAGAAAACATATGTGTCTTTCTCTCACCCTCTCTCTCCCCAACGCTCATCCTATATCACCTTCTCTCGGTTACCTCAGAAACCCTTTCCATTACGTGCTCTGCGTCTCTCTCCCTCTGTATCGCTCTCTCCGTCCCTCTCTATGTCTCTCGCTCTGGCTCTTTCTTTCTTTCTTTCTCAGACAAAGGCAGTGAAAATATCTGAAAATCAGATCATGTTCATTCAGTACCCACGCTAGGTTGTCAGCTCCCCCTTGTGTCCTAAATAGGTATAATACCCACGACCATAACCCCATACTACCAGAGCCCCTCTACCCAGTAACCAACACCTAAATCTAAATCCAGATCAACACACACCAACTGCCTCCAAATAGAGTGACCACTGGAATTGAGGCATGCACGCACACGGACACACACAGCCATGCGGCTCACCTGTGCCTGCACTGCCAGGTGGAAGGCTCCCTTCTTGAAGGGCAGCAGGTCGCTCCTCTGGTTCCGTGTGCCCTCAGGGAACACCCACAGCCGGATCTACCGGGGACAAAGGTCAGGGGTCAAAGGTGAGGCCCATGAGGAAGCATGGACAGTATGTCAATATCAGTGGTGGAGATAGACCTAGATACTCAGCCAGAAATTAGAATACAAAACGCACAACTATCAAGTATTCAAACTTGAATGGGTTAAGTTTCAGGACATATTGGCTTGGGAATGGAATAAACCAGTCGCTCAAAGTCTTATGATCTATGTCACTCTCTGGCATCATTGCCAATCAGGCTGGAGTTAATCATGACTTAGGCATGGCCCAGAGTACAGCAGAAGGCTACATGTATAATCATGTGGTCCCATAGATTAGTCCTGTAGAATTACTTGGTCGTCCAGCATGGTCTTGGCAGCTTCGGCCATTACACTCTTGGCGTCGCTGGTCTTCTTGCGGTTGATGAAGACGATGCCGCCTAGCCAGGACACGATGCCCACCGTGCCCGCGTACACCAGCTCCTTCTTGGCAATCATGGTGCAACGATCTGGGAGAACCTCCATTAGACCTGGGGATTGGAGAGGATCTGTTAGTATCCGTTACAGGATCTGGTAGGATCTCCATTAGACCGGGGGGAGAAAAGGATCTTTGAGAGGATTTGTTAGTGGAAATCTAGCCTATTAGATCCGTTAGAGGATCTTTTAGACCTGATAACTGGGATATTTTATGTTCTGTATGAACTCAGTCATGTGGGGTTGAATCTAACTGAATTTTTGTACAACGATTCCATTGACCCCACTGAATGATTTGGAATGAGACGATGGCCTTTAACGCACAGTAGCCTGATTAGTATTGAGTCGCCAGAAGATAGGACATTTTTCTGACCATGAACGGTGGTCTAAAGTTTGCATGGAGGTAAGGACATTCTCACGCCAAGTTCAGTTTTTATAAATGCCAACTTTTGCGGGAAAACTGGCACACGCATGTTTTGGGGTATATTTTCTAAGTACGCAACATTTATAAATGAGGCCCCTGATCGGTTGTTCTACTCAAGACAATAATTAATTGCATCATTACTGTATCTGGGATGAGCTTTGGCCTGTTACTATCTTATCTCACACTAGCCTTGTGAACAGACAGCTATTGAAATATGTCATTTATTTGTGTGGTGGCTGAAGCAATCCGTAATGTTTTTCATTTGACTTCTCTGTTATTTGGTCCTGGGTCTGGTCGCCATGCCTTGCAGTGAGTTGTCTGTAGCTAATGAAATCAGTAGTGTATTGCAGGACTCCATTTAGTCACATTTTGCGACCTTTTGACTTGGCAGCGCGCATATTTTTTTATTTATTGGTCACGTTGATGCAAGCTGCACATTCTACATGGTCACCTCAATCAAAACCATGACTAGGAGGCTAAAACCATGCCTTGGTCAAACACTAAAAGTACATTATCCTCATGATTCCTGTAATGAAAGTGTCTGCTTGCCCCTGTATCCGTTTTTGCTGGGGCCTGCTGCTGTGTCATGCGAGCCACTCTAGCTCTCCTTTAAAAAGGAAATAATCAATTGTTTTTCTCTCAAATTGATGGGAAAACACAGCTATCCTGTTGTCAAAGTTTGGGAGAGGATGTTCTCAGCTTTCTGTAGGTGTCCTTTTTATTTCTCAACTCTCAATAGCAACTATTTTACAAACAAGATATTTGATATGGCTTCGAGATATGGAGCGTGCGAAATGCGCATTGGCCATTGCGAGTACATAGGCTTTATTGGGCGGTAAGCTACAACTGCAAAATAAATTGGGACATTACATTTACTGTTAGATTATGGCTACTAGCAGTGGGTATTAGATTTAGAGTTAGCGATCTAGCTAATGTGTTTTGAGTTTCCATTTACTGAAGTGGTGAATTAGCCCCAAATAAATGTGCCTATAATATTAGAGCATATACAGATGCATGCAAATTCATTCAATTCTGCCGCCCTATTTTAACAATAAAATATAACAATAGCACAACTGTCTACCCAAAATGCATGACAATCACTGTATTAGGTTGCACATAAAAACATTTTGTATCACAACATGAAAAGATTAAACGCATTTCTTCCATATCATCTCAGTAGTCTATTACACTTTTTAACAAAGCACTGTGAATGACTTTATAAGATGATTTTTAAGAAATCTATTGCGCCACGCCGCAGAAAAAAATTGGTGCAACTAAATCACGGGCTGGTGCCACAAACTGAAAAATGTGGTGCCACCAGGGAATTTTTTTAGTCTGGAGCCCTGTATTGATCGTTTGAGCGGGTCTGATCTATATTGTTGGCTGGTTGTTTATTTTGGTGTCCTGTCAGCCCAGCCAGGTGAGAGTAGCTGGTTTGATATGGTGCACTCTGGGATAAGGTGGGCAGTATAAAGGAAACGGGGTAACACCTGACTCCTCGATCTGTGTGTGTGTAACCGAGATAGAGCGACCTGTGTTTCCCATTTCGCAGCCAACAAAGTGCTCTTTGAGGGAAGCGGGCAGAGAGAGAAGCTAGGGCAGAAGGCTGGGGCTGTTCATTACAGGATTTGGATCAGCAGGTGGAGCAGTAGTTCATATCTACAGTCGTGGTCAAAAGTTTTGAGAATGACACAATACTAATTTTCAAAATCTGCTGCCTCAGTTTTGATTATGGCAATTTGCATATACTCCAGAATGTCATGAAGAGTGATCAGATTAATTGCAAAGTCCCTCTTTGCCATGAAAATGAACTTAATCCCCCAAAAACTTTTCCACTGCATTTCAGCCCTGCAACAAAAGGACTAGCTGCCATCATGTCAGTGATTCTCCCGTTAACACAGGTGAGAGTGTTGACGAGGACAAGGCTGGAGATCACTCTGTCATGCTGATTGAGTTAGAATAACAGACTGGAAGCTTTAAAAAGGAGGGTGGTGGTTGAAATCATTGTTCTTCCTCTGTTAACCAAGGTTACCTGCAAGGAAACACGTGCCATCATCATTGCTTTGCACAAAAAGGGCTTCACAGGCAAGGATATTGCTGCTAGTAAGATTGCACCTAAATCAACCATTTATCGGTTCATCAAGAACTTCAAGGAGAGAGGTTCAATTGTTGTGAAGAAGGCGTCAGGGCACCAAAGAAAGTCCAGCAAGCGTCAGGACCGTCTCCTAAAGTTGATTCAGCTGCGGGATCGGGGCACCATCAGTGCAGAGCTTGCTCAGGAATGGCAGCAGGCAGGTGTGAGTGCATCTGCACGCACAGTGAGGCGAAGACTTTTGGAGGATGCCTCTTCTCTCCAGGAAAAACATCAGGGACAGACTGATATTCAGCAAAAAGGTACAGGGATTGGACTGCTGAGGACTGGGGTAAAGTCATTTTCTCTGATGAATCCCCTTTCCGATTGTTTGGGGCATCCGGAAAACACCTTGTCCGGAGAAGACAAGGTGAGCGCTACCATCAGTACTGTGTCATGCCAACAGTAAAGCATCCTGAGACCATTCATGTGTGGGGTTGCTTCTCACAATTTTGCCTAAGAACACAGCCATGAATAAAGAATGGTACCAACACATCCTCCGAGAGCAACTTCTCCCAACCATCTAATAACAGTTTGGTGACGACCAATGCCTTTTCCAGCATGATGGAGCACCTTGCCATAAGGCAAAAGTGAAAACTAAATGGTTTGGGCAACAAAACATCGACATTTTGGGTCCATGGCCAGGAAACTCCCCAGACCTTAATCCCATCCTCAAGAAGCGGGTGGACAAACAAAAACCCACAAATTCTGACAAACTCCAAGCATTGATTATGCAAGAATGGGCTGCCATCAGTCAGGATGTGGCCCAGAAGTTAATTGACAGCATGCCAGGGCGGATTGCAGAGATCTTGAAAAAGAAGGGTCAACACTGCAAATATTGACTCTTTGCATAAACTTAATGTAATTGTCAATAAAAGCCTTTGACACTTATGGAATGCTTGTAATTATACTTCAGTATACCATAGTAACATCTGACAAAAATATATCATAACACTGAAGCAGCGAACTTTGTGAAGACCAATACTTGTGTCATTCTCAAAACCTTTGACCACGACTGTATGATGGGAGGTTGGTAGGGATGTGCATCTTTCCCTTTCAAGACGATTTGATACGCATCTAGATACATGGGCGCCGATATGATACAGGAACGATACGTTTCAGTTTTAAACAATTTGCGCGATTCGGTTTGATTAGAGGAAAGCATCAACGTGATTCGGTTTGATGGGATAAGATTTGATGCACTAACATTTGTTGCATGAACACATTCATTTTCCATTCTAAATTAGAATATGCTGCTGATGGAGCCCATGAGCTGGACTTCTCTCTCTCTCGCTCTCTCTCTCTCTCTGTGTGTGAGTGAGTGAGTGTGTAAATGTAAACAGTGTACGAAACATTAGGAACACCTTCCTAATATTGAGTTACACCCCCTTTTGCCCTCAGAACAGCCTCAATTCATCGGGGCATGGACTCTACAAGGTGTCAAAAGCGTTTCACAGGGATGCTGGCCCATGTTGACCCCAATGCTTCCCACAGTTGTGTCAAGTTGGCTGGATGTCCTTTGGGTGGTGGACCATTCTTAAAAACACACGGGAAACTGTCGAACGTGAAAAACCCAGCAGCATTGCAGTTCTTGACACACTCAAACCGGTGCGCCTGGCACCTACTACCATACCCCGTTAAAGGCACTGACATCTTTTGTGTTGCCCATTTACCCTCTGAATCGCACACACACAATCCATGTCTCAAGGCTTAAAAAGTCATTCTTCAACCTGTCTCCTCCCCTTCATCTACACTGATTGAAGTGGATTTAACAAGTGACATCACTAAGGGATCATAGCGTCCACCTGGATTCACCTGGTCAGTCTGTCATGGAAAGCGCAGGTGTTCCTAATGTTTTATACACTCAGTGTATGTCTATGAAGGCACCTGAGCTGAGCCATATGGGAAACTGGGCATCTACCACCCCAGTACACGACACACTGAAGTAGTGTGAAATGCACTCATAAGGAACATGTAAATAGAGGCTTTTTTGCTGGCGTTCTATAAGAACTCCCCCTTGTTCCGTCACCAGGGGAGTAAAGTGCGAGTGTTCGTTCACGAAAGGTAAGCTCTCTCTCACGGTCACACAATCTCAATTTTCTCCAACCCACGCTATCCATCCATTCCTCCCTTTCTCTCCTGTTGTCAGTCTCCTGGCTTGCAGCCTGCTCACGCCACTCAGCCAACACCCAGACACACACCAACTCCGCCAGCCAGCAGTGAAGGCGAAAACACACTGAGGCCAAATCAGCAGCCTCACGACAGAGATTTAGGGGGTATGCTAAGAGATGAGGCACACACACACGTATCATAACCTAGACCCTATAGGAATCCAGTAGGAGAGACATGCTAAGAATTCCTCTCCTCCTCTGCTCACTGACACCGTGAGAGACTGACTTCCCAACTCTGAAAAACAGACCGCTCATCACAACATGATCTCCAAAGACGTTTCAATCAAAAGGACTTTACAATATACACAAAATCTCCCAATACCCAAGGTGATCACTTTTGATGTGAAAATGCACAACATAATCTGCACTCTATACAGCCAGTCAGCCACCTCCTGGCACTATTTAGGGCTAGTGCTGCACAATCCTCTGGTGCCAAGCATAATGCATTTCATATTGATCCTGGCTTTTCCCTACAGTCAAATACACCTGTAACCTCATTATCTACAAAATAATCCACCATCTTAAAACAGTGCTGTTGATTGATTACATGCACCAGTCTGGCCCTAGAGTTAGGCTTCAGTCTCTGTTGGATTTGGACTAACTTCCTTAGACAGCCATGTCAGTGATCACGTCTAGTGTGATGCTATACCAAATGACAGTTGTCAGTCTGTACGCATAGAAACCATTAGTGTATCCCCATTATACTCTTCTCTCAGAATAGAGTGCCCTGTGACTGCACTCAAACCATTACTAGAGGAATCCCTTAGGACGTGAGCTATGGAGGGTCAAATGGAGTTAGTGGAAAGGGAGACGCCCAGTGTTAGCATACAATACAAGTTTGATTCATATAGGGGAAGCTCTGATTCTATCCAAAAGTGTGTGTTTTCAACCTTCCCAAGTTCTCTCATGTCACCCCGCTCCTCCGCACACTCCACTGGCTTCCAGTCGAAGCTTGCATCCACTACAAGACCATGGTGCTTGCCTACGGAGCAGCAAGAGGAACTGCCCCTCCCTACCTTCAGACTATGCTCAAACCCTACACCCCAACCCGAGCACTCCGTTCTGCCACCTCCGGTCTCTTGGCCCTCCCACCCCTATGGGAGGGCAGCTCCTGCTCAGCCCAGTCCAAGCTCTTCTCTGTCCTGGCACCCCAATGATGGGACCAGCTTCCCCCTGATGCCAGGACAGCAGAGTCCCTGCCCATCTTCCGAAAACATCTGAAACCCTACCTCTTCAAACAGTATCGTAAATAATCCTCACTTAACCAGCAATTGCACTTGACCCAACCCCTCTTCTAGCTCTGACTCTACTGATAGCTACGTTATTGAGGTACTTTCTTTGCCTGTGATATGTGGTTGTCCCACCTAGCTATTTTAAGATGAATGCACTAAACTGTAAGTTGCTCTGGATAAGAGCGTCTGCTAAATTACTAAAATGTCAAATGCGTGGATCTGTGTGTGTGTGCGTTTGTGTCGACACGGCCGTCTGTGTGTGTGTGTGTGTGTGTGTGTGTGTGTGTGCAGGCACGTCCGTCTGTGTGTGTGTGTGTGTGCAGGCACGTCAGTCTGCGCGTGTCCGTCTGGTCATCTGTTTGTGTGTCCCGTACCCAGAACGTCCAGGGAGCTCTGGTGGTTGGAGATGATGACGTAGGGTCCCTCTGTCTGCAGGTGTTCCAAGCCACTCACGTCGAACCTCAGACCCAGGAAGTACTTAACATGACGAACCAGAGCACGGACCACCCTGGAGACAGGAAAGAACACAGCAATGTTCAATTCAATCTTGATCTGAAAACCATTTTCAGTGTTAAACGATCCGACTATGCATCCATGAGTGTTTCAGAGCACCAAATCTGCTCTCTCAGTGATCAGCAACGGAGCAGACTTAATGCTCTCAAACACTGCTACGGTCTCAATTAACTAAGGCTGTGAGAAAATACAAGATTTGTCTGTTTGTAGCAGTATGTTGGACTGAACGAAATGTGCTCAATAAGTAACCTAAAAGCTCAGATGAAGGTAGAAGAGGCCGACACGATAGCTTTAATAAAACAAGTGATACGAGAAAGAGCAGTGTGCGGATTTCTCTTTTCTTTGAACTCCATAAGTAACCTAACATACATTTGAAATGTTTTGACTGTTCAAGTACTCGCATGATTTTTGGGGGAGTACATTATTATTTTCATGTATTTTTTTACTCACTGGGAGAAAAATAAAATTGCACCTCTATATGTCAAAAGTGCACAACAATGCCTAATTTATCATAATCATTACAGATAACAAATCCTAATTGCTAAACTAGCTCTAGTGCCGAGTTGGACTGCCGTTTTCCTCCAGAACAGCCTGAATTCTTCGGGGCATGGAAACACTGCTCAATTGGTATCAAGGGACCGAACGTGTGCCAGGAAAACCTTCCCCACACCATTACGCCACCGACACCAGCCTGTACCATTGACACCAGGCAGGACAGGGCCATGGACTTATGTTGCTTACGCCAAATCCGGACTCTGCCATCAGCATGATGCAACAGGATCCGGGATTCGTCAGACCAGGCAATGTTTTTCCATTCCACAATTGTCCACTGGAGCCGCTTCTGGAGTCTTTTTTTATCTGATAGGAGTGGAACCCGGTGTGGTCGTCTGCTGCAATAGCCCATCCGTGACAAAGACCGACGAATTGTGCGTTCCGAAATGCCGTTCTGCGCCATTATATGCCTGTTTGTGGCCTGCCTATTAGCTTGCACGATTCTTGCCATACTCATTTGACCTCTCGTCAATGAGCTGTTTTCACCCACAGGACTGTTTGTTTGTTTGTTGCACCCTTCTCGGTTAACCCTAGACACTGTCATGCATGAAAAGCCCAGGAGGTCGGCCGTTTCTGAGATACTGGAACCGGCGCACCGGCGATCATACCACGCTCAAAGTTGCTTAGGTCACTCGTTTTGCCCATTCTAACATTCAATCGAACAGTAACTGAACGCCTCAATGCCCGTCTACCTGCTTTATTTAGCAAGCCACGGCCACATGACTCAATGTCTGTAGGCGCAAACCACCATTTGTGAACGGGGTGGTGTACCTAATAAACTGGCCAATGAGTATATTCAGTCAACAAAAAACTATTGCCATTTAAGATTAATTTATTGAAACCGTAATATCAACTGGTTATATTATACTGTGTAACACAATCTTCAAAAAGGCAGTAACCTCAGCAGTGGTGCTTGCTTGTAGAAGCCTATGGCTGTGCAATGACATAGCCTCATTTCCTGAGCCCTTATCACATTCAAGACACCCATTTAATAGCATGAAAAAAGTTGCCGGTGCAAAGTAATGCACGTCTGGACTCATTTTTGAAACAGGGCCGGTTTTATTTTTTTCCGCAAAAAATAAAATAAATATACACATATATACACACACATTTATTACTTTCCAACCCCACCACCCCTCCCCTAATTGGAGTAAACTAGTGAACAACGCTTAGGCCTCTACTTCCAGCTTACACATAGTATATACAATTTTATGGACACAGTCAATTTTACAATAGATCTATTTTGTTTGTTTTTACTCCTGAACTCCCTCTACAGTCAACCTCTCCGATCATTTTCATGATGTCCATCCGGTTTGCTTCTATATGCCATATCTTTCAAACTGTGCTCTTTCACAAAAGTTCTTAACCTATAAACTTATTATGGATACAGTATGTTTTACATTAGTTATCTTGTTGTTATTAGTCCCAAACGGCGCTTAGTTTGGCGCGTTGAAAGACAATTTCTTCAGGGTTACAAAACAAAATCTGTCTTATTTTCGATATAGGCCAACAGATGTTCGATTAAGTTTATTCTGCCGGTTCTGTCAAATTTTCTAAATAGATTAACAATTCCACATTGAAAACTACATGGTGATTAATTACAGCCACGACATCTGTTTGATGAGTAGGCCTAAACTTGATTCTGATGAAAATACGCTCCGTCTTTATCAAACTAATGTTTTTGCATATTTTCAGTGTAGAACCTGTCTATCTTTATTGAGGGAGATGGGTTATAGCCTACGCTAACCCATTCTAAATGGCACTAGCAGTTTGCAAAGTAGCCTAAGCGGAAAATAGACGGGACACAATTATTCCAAAAGTTTCAGCTCGTTTTGGAAAACAGTCCCGTGTTCTCATTAAGCCCACTTCCATATTTGGATTCAAATAAAAAAAGAACACATTGCTGCTGTTTAATGTTTCAACCAATTCATCTGGTTGTTATATCTATACCCGTTTTTATTCTAAGCCAATCAGATGTTTCATTTATTAAGTTGACAGTTATTTGCAAGTTCCCAGTAACTTTGGTGTTGAGGTGACCCTCAGAAACAAAATCATTTTTTTTTTTTTTTTTTACCTTCTCAGATAAGTGATCATGTCACTTAGAGGAATATATCTTTTTTTGCTACAAACGTTTTTATAAGCATGCATTTATGTAGGCCTAATGGGAGCTTGTGTGCGAACTCGGCACGCGTGTGTAGAGGGAGCGGTCGGAACGCAATTGAGGGAGTGAGACATGGAGGGGAAAGGGAATTTAGAGAAGAACTGATGCTTGCCTTGATTTCTTTTTTGTTGTGGCCCGCAAATGCACATGTACACATGGAACACTAGAGTCAAAGCAAATGAATATCTTCAAGACCAAAAGTCCTATTTTTTTCTCAGGACAAGCCACATAGCACATTCCACCAAATAGTTTTTCAGCAGCAGATTTTTATTTTATTTTTTTAATCTCTGCTTAAAAGAGAGTTTTGTCGTCCGTTCGAGTACTCATGTTCATCCCTACAATAATGGAGCTAGAACATTGTCTGCTGCTGGCGTCACATGTACCATTACATACAAAACATGGTTAGGCTAGATGAAGAGCATTGTCTGCTGTTCTTGTTCTTAAACAACCACAATAAGGGGAAGGAAATGGCTCTCTGTAGGTTCTCTCTGTGCCCTGTCATGAAAGCAATCAATTGTGGCCGTCAATCCAACATTTTTTACTGTTATTTATTTAGGGAAGTCAAAACATTTTTTGTATAAATTTAAGAATAAAACCAGATATAAACTATGTAGAAAAGATACTGGAGCTATTTACATTTTTAAATAAGCTCATCTTTGGAGAACCACCCGAATAAAAAAACTACAGTCAGGGAGAATCTAAATGTCCAAAATTCCCATTGATTTTGTTATAACGTTTGAGTCACTCAGATAGCATAAGAACAAGGCATAAGCCATGGCAAAATGTGTAGAATTGTAGGAAATTAGTTAAAGGTAACTGTCCAGTGTTTTCAGATTCTTAGGAAATATGACCTGGTAAAAAAAAAAAAAAGTAATTAAGTATGTTAAAATGCAGCTTTTCTGTGTTTATTTATTTGTACCCCATTAGCTTTTGCAGAAGCAGCAGCTACTCTTCCTGGGGTCCACAAAAAACACAAACATGACAAGTAACAAAACACTGATAGACAAGGACAGTCACACAAATTTAAAATACAACGATATACCAACAATACAACCAAAATATTATACAAACAATACAATGCAAAAATAATTGTGTGTGTGTGTGTGTGTCCCCTCACAGTCCCGGCGTTCCACGAGTTGTTGTTTAAATCATTTTTTTAAAGGTAATTTTGCTGTTTGGTTGAGTAATTGGAGATGGGAGTTCCATGCGATCATGGCTCTGTATAAAACTGCATTGCTGTGAATCTGTTTTGAACCTCGGGACGGTGAAGAGACCCCTGGTGGCATGTATGGGTGTCTGAGCTAAATGTTACTTGATTATGCAGACAATCTGGAATTTGTCACAGTAATATTCCTCAAAAAAATACAAGAGAAGCAGGTAATCTCTTGTCAACCCTCAACAAGGAAAGACTGGCATCCATGTTGTTGATGTTAGTTCTGTATGTGCAGTTACGGCAAGGCGTGCTGCTCTGTTTTGAGCCAGCTGCAGCTTTGCTATCTCTTTCTTTGCTGCACTTGACCATATTACCGGACAGTAATCAAGATGAAACAAGACCAGAGCCTGAACAACTAGTTCAGTTTTTATAACAGACATACCCCTCCCTATCTTCACAACAACTCTGTCAATATGACTTGACCATGATAATAGACAATCCAATGTTATACCTAGGAGTTAAGCTTTCTGTAGGAATGGTGTGGGGGTACCCAAACAACAGAATGGTGTGGGCATATATAGGGCTGTGGTGTCATAATTTTGTCAGCCAGTAATTATAATGCAAATGAATGCCATTCTCACGGTAACTGACCGTTAATTAACATAAGCATGTTTAGCGTCTCCGAGGTTCCATGCATACAAGCTGCTGATGCGCGACTTTGGAACAGCTACAATTTAAAAAGTCGAATAAATCAATTTTATATAGCCTACACGTCACAGTAAAATCCATTATTTATTTAGTTGTGATAGGCCTATAAAACTGGGAATTTCGTAGAAATCAAGACATAAGGGCTGTACGATGCGACTATATTGATGATTTGGAAAAAGTTGCAAAAAAAAGTTATGCACTCTGATCCTCGCGCTTGCCATGGAGAGAAAGAGACAATTGCACTGCTGCTCTGCTTGTCAATGGAAGGTGGAATTAAAATGACAGAATTAAAAGTGAAATGAGAATGAAGATCCAAAAGGTTGGCTGCTATTTACGTTATAATCTGATGTAGCTCAGTTGGTAGAGCATGGCGTTTGCAACGCCAGGGTTGTGGGTTTGATTCCCACGGGGGGCCAGTATGAAAAATACAAAAAATAATGTATGCACTCACTAACTATATGTCGCTCTGGATAAGAGCGTCTGCTAAATGACTAAAATGTAAATGTTATGTGTAGGCTAACTGTAGGACGGTGAGAAGCGCAGTAACGTTATTGCTAGCCTCAATTAGCTAGCGTCTCTCGGTTTGATGCATTCAAGATAGGTGCTACGTAACCGGATGGGATGATAAATAACTATCAAGAAGTTGGTCTAGCGAGCGATAACAGTGGTTGCGGTCTCTCCCTCCGTGCCTGCGCTGGTGCTCCGAGCCTCCCATGTTTTACTCAAACACACCGAACGGCCTCCGCTCCCTAATAGCCTACTGCTGCTCGCTCTGTGCCTCTCACGCTCCCCCTTTCTCCATGGCTCCGGTTTAATAAAAACAAAATGTGCTTTTCTGCCGCTTCCCTCACTCGGATCGGACCGATTGTCCTTTAGCATTGTTCGAGTTCCAACAGACAAAAGGTTCAAAAGTTCCAATCTAACTGACCAATCAGAGGTTTGTTTGGACAAGGCTGTAGCAGGCATGGAAACAGGGGCAGACTGACAGAGGGGGATTTGAGTCCATTCAGGAGGAGAGAGAGAAGGGCATGGGGAGAGAGAGTTGACATAATCCAGTGAGAAGGGTTGACAAGAACACACTAAACAGCAGCACGTCATGGTTCACTATCACACCGACAGGTCTGTAATACTGCTGACACTTGGCATCATAAGTCATTCCCCTTGAGCAGCTAGGAGGCAATAGGTTAGTTAGTGTCAAAATACCCTGTTTGTTTTCATCACAAAACTCAGTGTGATAATTCACAATGGAATCTTGGCGACTGTTGACAGCAGCATTACGATTCCATTTGTCTGGAACGTCAGACAGGCGATCAGACAATTCCGTCGCTGTTCTGGCTGAGGCTGAAGTGACTCTTCAGTTTGCTTCAATGTTTGCTACGTTGCATGACGGTTTGTACTGAATGATACGTTTCCACAAAACGGTGCGCAACGTTCTTCAACAGCCTTTAAGGTACGTTTAAACCCATTTGGTGGGTGTGGCGAGGTGAAGCCTGATCAATATGGGTGTGACCATCTGAAATCGCAAAACTCGTGCAGCAGACCATATGGCAGGGATCATTACATTTACATTTTAGTCATTTAGCAGACGCTCTTATCCAGAGCGACTTACATGAGGATTTAGGGTTAAGTGCCTTGCATAAGGGCACAGACAGATTTTTCACCTAGTCGGCTCATCAACTAGATTCAGCCGCTGGTCGATTTTTTTATTGAACGGATGGTCAGGAGGCCGCAACATAATTACAAATAATTGGTAGACTGCAAATTGACTGCAAAAAGCCCAAGAAGCCCAAACAGATATAATATTAAACTAAAACATAATTTAAAACCTTGCTTATTTGTATATGATCACGTCTCTCTATTATGCATGGGAATACTTGAGAACAGATTTCCCAAAATAAACTCACTTGAAGCAGATTTCATGGTGCTAAAAAAATAAAACATTTACATTTTAGTCATTTAGCAGACGCTCTTATCCAGAGCGACTTACAGTTAGTGAATACATATTTTTTTTATACTGGCCCCCCGTGGGAATCGAACCCACAACCCTGGCGTTGCAAACGCCATGCTCTATCAACTGAGCTACATCCCTGCCGGCCATTCCCTCCCCTACCCTGGACGACGCTGGGCCATAAAACAAGTGTCCAATGAAACATTCTTGCTCAGAAAACATGGGGGGCCAAATTCGGCCGGGGGCCGCAAGTTGGAGAACCCTGCCATATGTTAACTGCCCTCTGGGCCACCATAATCACAACGTTTTTCCAACTTATCGTTCAGTACAGTACCATTTCCATTGAATTCAACGTTGCACACCATTCTGTCATACTGAACACAACCCTGGGTCAGTCACAGAGCGAGCAAGGGTCAAAAACTTCCCAATTCCCACTACTACAAATTTGAGGACAGGCTGTGCCGTCCTTCCATTCCAAATCAGTGAACTCTTTCTAATATGGCCTGCCCCGCCTCTCTATCTGTGTCAGTGTCTGGGTCCCTGTCGCTTTCTCTTCTTCTCGCACGCCCACTCTCCCTCTCTGTCCGTTTCTCACACACTTGTTAGCGACAGTGAATAGAGTCCAGCGCCGGACACCCTTTAGGTTAATAGAGATAGAATGCTGCCTGGTGCAACATGACACCACTGCCAATACTGCTGATCTGCACGCCTGGCTGTGAAATGGTTCAGTTATTCCAAGAGTACGGAGCCTGAGCCAGGTCAGCCTGCCCTGCGTTATCACTAAACTAACAAGGCCAACAGGCAGCACATGCTGGCGGAGGCCATCCATTGATTTCTAGGGGAAGACATAACAACCAGTCGGTAACATGACCCCAACCAGGAGGGACATTCAGTTCTATCTTACCCCCACCTCTCCTCTCTTGGTAATTACCGGATACAGTCACTCGTGTCCAATAGGCCATGTCTCTGTCCACAGTACAATACCCAATCCCCCTATCCTAAATTAAATGGCCAGTTGTTACTTGGCAACCATCCTAAACACTGTAAAAAATGATTTATTCTCGATTATAATATAATATATAATAATATAATATGCTATTTAGCAGACGCTTTTATCCAAAGCGACTTACAGTCATGCGTGCATACATTTTTTTTGTGTGTATGGGTGGTCCCGGGGATCGAACCCACTACCTTAGCGTTACAAGCGCCGTGCTCTACCAGCTGAGCTACAGAGGACCACATGGATGTGGTAGTATTGGTAGTAGTAGTAGTAGTAGTAGTATTGGTTTAATTTAGACTAAAATCATTGCCATTTTGCTTTGCGTGCATTAGCCTTCCAAATAACTTATCTGAATGAATGAAAATTTCGTAGTCTAATGTGTGGGGCTAACCTAAAGATTCCAACCTTACGGTCGCTGTAAGTAGGCTACATCTTCCCTGTAAGGCCGGAATGACAGGCTGCCACTATCAGGACACCACGGAGCCGGCGCGAGATATAGCTTGGAAAACGTACCTCAATCCAGGGATGGGAGATGGCACTTTACTCTTAATTATTCCGTTATCCAAAATGATACAGAGAAGATTGAAATACTGCTCGTTTTTAATTAAACTGCCGTTTTCATCAGTTTTTATCCTAGGCTAGCTAATGCTAAAGCAACCCCTTGGAATCGACTACACTTCCAGTCGCTTCCCACCCCAACGATAGACATCACATTTTCATGGAATCCAATGGGCTGCTATAGCATTAGCTAGCCCAGCATGCTAACGAAAACAGCAGTATAATTTAAAACTAGTAGTATTCCAATCTTCTCGATTCATCGCTCAAGGATAATTAGGAGTATAGCGACATATTCCATTCCTGGAACATGTCCAGCCATATACCGCACCGGGCTCCGCTGTCCACATTCTGGCATTGCACCGTTCCGACTAATCACGAAACATGGCGATGTCTTCAATTCTGTAGGCCACGCCATGCACATTTACACAGGAAAAACCTAAACATCCCTTGTTTGTCATGAATGTTGAATGAAAGTATATTTGAATTTACTCTGCCAAATGTCAGCTGTTAGAAATTTGAGACAAAATATCCACAGGAAAATATTATTAAACATACTTCAAAACAGGGGTCTGTGTGTGTGTGGCAATCAATAAGTGTTTGCTCATGACCAAAGGCACGTGCACAATACTGAAGTGCATGCATACTATAAGGTGTTTACATGGTTTTATGCATGTGCCAGTTGATTATTAAAAAAAAGATGGGTAAACAATACTTTGTATATTTGTCTCAAATTTCGAGCAACTGAAGGACCAACTGTAGAGACAACCAGTAGAGTAAGTTCGAATCTAATTGTATTAAACATGCTGGTTTGTAAGGGAAATGTCCACGATTTTGCAGTGGTTTGTTTCAGACTGTATACCAATAATTGGTATCAAATAAAGTTTTATTAGGCAATGTTCCGAATAGCGAGAAGAAACGAACGAAAGTCGGATTCCAATGGCTAGTATGGGGCATGATGCTAAACTAAAGGAATTCAGTTGACATTAAACCAACTGATGAAACCAAACATCCTCTTTCCTTGATCCTGTTTAGACTTAAAACATTGACACACAAGCTATGCCAAAAATCATGGATTAAAGTGGCATTTTCTGCAGTCTATTGTTGATTTACATCTGTGCAAAAAACACACGCCTGTTGGATATGGTGTTCCAACCCGGTTTCCAGCCACGAAATGTCGGGCCCAGAGGCCATGTCTGGATGCGAGGTGACTCTAACGTTAGCAAGCTAGCTAGTATTAGCCGCCTAGTTCAGAAAGTCCCAAACATCTGGCAATTCATTTGCAGCTAACTAGCTAAGTTTGCTTTCTTTCCAACCGCTGGATAACTACCTCGCATTACGTTACAAAATGTTGCAACCAACAGGTGAAAAAAATATCAGCAAAATGGCTTATTGATAAATTAGGGTAGAGCACAGATTGATGTTATGTTTGCATTATTTCAGTATTTGGCAAGCTAGCCATCTTCCATTCACACGATCAAACGAAACGTTAGCTAGCAAAGCACGGCTCGCGCTGTTGTGCAACCTGGAACTTACCTCATGTTTTCAACGTCCCTGCCGCCGCATTTCATTATACTAAGCGGAATCGCAATCGCACCCAAAACCATCATATAGGCCACGTAGAAACACTTTTTAAAATAAAAAACAAAGGTGCTGCTGGTCCATAGCAGAAGTGGGACCAGCAGCATTAGGAATACCCAGAGCGCATCCATACTGATTCCTTCGAGGATATTGCCAGAAAAAGCTGACGTTACTGTAGCTAGTGTGTGAGCGGCACTATGGCACCGACTGACATTACAACTTCCAAGGCAAACACCACTTGTGCACAACTCGTTCTCTATGTGAAAATAACGCGACCCTTTCAACCGTCAACAACAAATATGACAACACTTTTCAGTCGACGATGGCGCAGGCAGCCTCAAGTAGTTGTTCCGATATGAAATTCGATAGTTTCTTCTGTTTCCGGTGGCACACGCGTACTGTTCTTCTGCAAAGATGGGCAGTATAAATCCCGACGGTTGAGGTGCCATAATACCCATAAAACCTAGCGGTCAAACAGGGAAATGGTTCCAATCGTTTTTCCACTATTAATTATACTTAAAGGGAATTTTAGAAACACTTCAAATAAGGGCTGTGTTTCCTGTAGACTTACCCTGGCGTGACGTTTTGATAACCATGTAAGACTCTCGGACAAGGTGACTTTTATGTGATAATGAACAATTGCAAAGCATGCTGAGTATTATTCTAATGAGTTCCACCCCCGAAACAAGGCCAATAATAATACCCAGTGTCCTTTGCAGTTCATTTTGGTTCATCTGGAGTACTCACTAAACACAAATGCTTTGTTTGTAAATTATGTCTGAGTGTTGGAGTGTGCCCCTGGCTATCCGTAAATAACAAAAACAAGAAAATTGTGTAGTCTGTTTTGCTTAATATAAGGAATTTGAAATGATTTATACTTTTACCTTTGATACTTAAGTATATTTTAGCAATTCCATTTACTTTTGATACTTAAGTATATTTAAAACCAAATACCTTTAGACTTTAACTCAAGTACTCAAATACTATAATAATGGTTCCCTGAAGTAAGGGAAGGTAGAAGCTTTGTACTGTGACTAATATTTTCAGGTAAAAAAATGTTTTTCATGTCAAGTCATTAAATTTAAAATAACATTACAGGTTCGAGGTAGCCTGGAGTCATTGCATTCAGCTAATGACTTAGGCTGCTGATCTCAGTCTCTAAAGATTTGGTTAATTCTGTTTTTATTAGGCATGTATTTCCAAAACAAAGCAGCTGCCAACAATTTCTGATTTGATTACGCATGTATTTCCAAAGTAAAACATAGTGGGCACATTGAAAAATGCATTATTGCTGTTGATGCCTGGGGGCAAACTCAGGTTGAAACTCAAGTTATTTGTCATCCTCTTAACATCTTCATAAGATATTTGTTGGGCTGTGCAGCATCTTATTCTCTCTCCCTTTCCCGTTCTCTCTCTCGTGGCTAGTGGTGACTGTTTAACAGTCTGATGGCCTGGAGATAGAAGCTGTTTCTCAGTCTCTCGGTCCCAGCTTTGATGCACCTATACTGTCTCCGCCTTCTAGATGGTAGCGGGGTGAACAGGCTGTGGCTCGGGTGGCTGAGGTCCTTGATTATGTTCTTGGCCTTCCTGTGACACAGGGTGCTGTAGATGTCCTGGAGGGCAGGCAGTGTGCCCCTGGTGATGCGTTGGGCTGACCGCACCACCCCCTGAAGAGCCCTGCAGTTGCGGACGGTGCAATTGCCATACCAGGCGGTGATACAGCTTAACAGGATGCTCTCAATGGTGCATCTGTAGAAGTTCATGAGGGTCTTAGGCAAGACCCTCACGAAGCCAAATTTCTTCAGCCTCCTGAGTTTGAAGAGGCACTGTTGCGCCTTCTTCACCACACTGTCTGTGTGAAGGGACCATTTCAGGTTGTCAGTGATGTGCACGCAGAGGAACGTGAAGCTTTTGACCCTCTCTACCGCGGCCCCGTCGATATGGATGGGGGCGTGCTCTCTCTGCTGTCTCCTGTAGTCCAGGAGATATATACAATATGCTGTGCATTCTGAAAAGTTTTTCTACATTTTGTTAAATTACAGCCTTATTCTAAAATGCATTCAATAAAAAAAATCCCTCATTAATCTACACGCAATACTCCAAATTGACAAAGTGAAAACAGGTTTTTATAATTTTTAGCAAGTTTATTAAAAATAAAAAACAGAAATACCTTATTTACATAAGTATTCAGACCCTTTGCTATGAGACTCAAAATTGAGCTCAGGTGCATCATGTTTCCATTGATCATCCTTGTGGTAAACCACCTGTGGTAAATTCAATTGATTGGACATGATTTGGAAAGCCACACACCTGTCTATATAAGGTCCCATAGTGGACAGCGCATGTTAGAGCTAAAATGAAGCCGAGGGAGGATTGTGTCAAGGCACAGATCTGGGGAAGGGTACCAAAAAATGTCTGTGCAGCATTGAAGGTCCCCAGGAACACAGTGGCCTCCATCATTCTTAAATGGAAGAAGTTTGGAACCGCCAAGACTCTTCCTAGAGCTGGCCACCCGGCCTAACTGAGCAATCGGGGGAGAAGGGCCTTGGTCAGGGAGGTGACCAAGAACCCGATGGTCACTTTGACAGAGCTCCAGAGTTCCTCTGTGGAGATGGGAGAACCTTCCAGATGGACAACCATCTCTGCAGCACTCCACCAATCAGGCATTTATGGTTAAGTGGCCAGACGGAAGCCACTCCTCAGTAAAAGGCACATGACAGCCCACTTGGAGTTTGCCAAAAGGCATCTAAAGGACTCTCAGACCATGCGAAACAAGATTCTCTGGTCTGATGAAACCAAGATTGAACTCTTTGGCCTGAATGCCAAGCGTTACATCTGGAGGAAACCTGGCACCATCCCTACAGTGAAGCATGGTGGTGGCAGCATCATGCTGTGGGGATGTTTTTCATCGGCAGGGACTGGGAGACTAGTCAGGATTGAGGGAAAGATAAACGGAACAAAGTACAGAGAGTTCCTTGATGAAAACCTGCTCAAGAGCCCTCAGGACCTCAGACTGGGGTGAAGGTTCACCTTCCAACAGGATAACGACCCTAAGCACACAGCCAAGACAACACAGGAGTGGCTTCGGGACAAGTCTCTGAATGTCTTTGAGTGGCCTAGACAGAGCCCGGACTTGAACCCAATCGAACATCTCTGGAGAGACCTGAAAATGTCTGTGCAGCGACGCTCCCCATCCAACCTGACAGAGCTTGAGAGGATCTGCAGAAAAGAATGGGAGAAACTCCCCAAATACAGGTGTGCAAAGCTTGTAGCGTCATACCCAAGAAGACTCAAGGCTGTAATCGCTGCCAAAGGTGCTTCAACAAAGTACTGAGTAAAGGGTCTGAATACTTGTGTAAATGTGATATTTCAGTTTTTTAATTTTTTATAAATTACCAAACATTTCTAAAAACCTGTTTTTCCTTTGTCATTATAGGGTATTGTGTGTAGATTGAGGGGAAAAATCTATTCAATCCATTTCAGAATAAGACTAACTTAAGAAAATGTGGGGTCTGAATACTTTCCATATGCACTGTATATACAATATCTGAAGTAAATGATGCATTAGACATTCATACAATGTTCCGCATGCCCTCTCATATAGAAATCTACTTTGACTTCTATCTAAGGATGACTCATGTTTGACTCACACATCGTGGGACATAGCTGAGGACACTCTGATATACATGTTGGTGGACTCCCTACCAGCACTCAGTACACTCAGCGAGATGGACCTGATGGTTTGCGGTCTTCAATACAAAAAAGGGAAAAAATATATATATATATTGTTTGTTTCGTTTGTACAACAAAGTCCTTGTCAACTATGGTTTAAGCTTAACCAGATTTCATCATTTCTGACCGTGAAGAGACGTTTACGTTTATCCCTATTATAAATTAAGTTGTTCAGGAGTCAATGTGCCAGATTTAGATTACAGCTATAACGGGATTAGTTGTGATAATCCAGGAGTGTAATCCAGCCCTGCCCAGCGCCTCAGGTCTCAGACCGTGTATCTGCTGTTTGTTAACTAGAGACGCTTTGGACCGATGCCAGATAATTAATCCTTGAGTGACTGCAGTGATTCTTATTGTACCACTACTACTGTTCTACTCAATCAAAGACTGTAGTTTTTGATTGAAGGTTTTGATTGAGTAGAACAGCAGTTTCAGGAGTAGGCAAAACAGCATTGAAACACAGCATTGATTCATTATGATTGTCTTTCACTGTCATAATTTATACAGTCAACATAGTTTTATTGTTTTTATACAATCAGTAAGTGCAGTAATCTGATTGTAAATAGTTGCAGTGATATGATTGGAAGAAACCTCATAGGAAGTCGATGGATTATTTATATTTAGGGATACTGTATCATACAGAATAGTTGTATGGTTTTGGACAAGAGCCCAAATATTTCCGTATACATTTACAGTGTTGTTTATTGCTTATGCATCTATCATTTTTGGGCATATTGAACTGAGTTGCGATTCCATTATTTTTTTTCCAGCATCTTCTCCTCATATGAGAAGATCACCCTGGTACCCTGTTATTTTTGTCAGGCATTCATGTGTGCATGGTGCTCTGTTTCCCTCTACTGTTGATATGATGAAGTGCAACCATTTAGGTCTCTTCAGCTCAGTTAAAATAAGTGTCTCATTGTCCTGCTGTGACTCCTATAGCCTAAATCATTTTTTTTGTTCCACTGTGCATGTCCGTGTAGTAGTTGTGGACAGTCTCAGTGACTTAACAACAATAGTCTGCCCATGCTATTCCAGCTGCTAGAGGTGGATGGGGTGGGGTAAGGGGGAGCTGTCTGTGAATGTGTCCAAGTTCTTCCAAGGCAATTGGATCAACAACAATGACCGAAATTGACAGGCAAATTATATTAATTTTAAACCGCCTTAAGAACATTTAGATCCTATGGACTACATTTCATAGACACACAGCAGAGGTGGAAGTATCTCTCTCTCTCTCTGTAGCAGTATCTCTCTCCCTCTCTCTCTCATCTCAATTATACATGAAGACAGTGAGAGGACAGAGCAATAGACAGAACAGAAATACACATTGATAATACTGAGAGGGGTGGAAAGGTGAGCTGCAAAAATAGATATTTAGAGAGAGAGAGGGAGAGAGAGAGAGAGAGAAAGAGAGAGAGATAGTTGAACCCAAATCACTGTGTGTGTGTGTGTGTTTGTGGAATTTAAAGGAGTGATGTTCTATTTATGCCGGCGGTCTAAAAGCTGCGAAGCCAGCTGAGATCTGTAACTTTCCCTTTTAAAATTGCACTCACATCAATCGCTACAACAGCTCTGTAACGAACGAGGGTTGGTTCGTGGAGTCCGAAGGGGTAGCAGCGTATCATATTCAAGAAAGCTACTATATTTGGAAAACGGGGTAGCTATACATGATTTATTTGTT